GAACTGAAGATGCTTGGAATCAATTAGTCCAATGTACTAATGGAACATGAGAACATCAGTCTCACAACTGTTAAACCAGAAGCTGAGTAGCTTACCAATACCTCTGAAAAGGATCACATTAGAAGATTCTGGATAGAGATGGACAAAATGAGGAACAAAAATCAAAATTATAAATAACGATAAAAAAGAAAGGCTTACTGATCAGAAGAGACTAGAAGAACCTGAAATTATGGCCCTACACCACCTTGCAGATCTGGAAAGGAACCTACCTTCATAGCCCAATTTTCAGCAAAGCAGTAGATAGGTACATACGAGGAGAACAATATTAATAAGGTATGCCACCATGGAACGGTCAGTGATTTAAAATCAAAAGAGCATGCAATGAAATGCAGACGGGTCTCTTGTGACACAACAGTGAATAATTGTTATCAGGACTGATTGTGAGGGTTGGAAATATAAAGGTAGACGTTTTATAGCAAGGAGGGGAGTGATTAACTTTTCAGTCTAGGAGCGGAGGTCCCTAGGACCATCAAGGGAGAAGAGCAGAGAGCGGAACCCTACCCAGAGAAGCAGTGATGCCTGAAATGGAGCCAGAGATGATGACATGGAGCAATGGAGCAGCTGGAGACTTTAGATCCAGACAGGGAGAGCAACTGTGTGCTGAAGACCTGGGGGGTACGGGGGAAGGATTGCATGGAGGGGATTGTAACCATGGCAATGATACGATATACAATAGAATGAATGTAAAACTAATGTTCTCCTATGTAAACTATCACATAATTCACAATAAAACATTTAAGAAAAGAAAAAAAAAAATCTCAAGAGCAACAATTACCTACAGACAAAGTAGAAAGGACAGGAGGTCGGTGGAATAGAAATAGGACCACAAGGAGGAACTGGGATAACTATTGTTGCATGGAGGGGTTTACAATCATTGAGATTAAACAAAGTATAAGATTTATTGAATGTACAATTGATGATCTTGTCTGTAAACCTTCACTAAATTCATAACAGCAAGTTAAGAAAAAAAAAAAAATGTATTTACCATAGTACCTAGAAACCATTAACAATAAAAATTATAGTAGCTATGTGGCGCTGTGAGTTAATGCACCAGACTACAAAGCCGTTTGAACGGCAAGGTTGGTGGTTCAAGCTCACCAGCTGCTACTTGGAAACCCTATACAGGGTTGCTATGGGTTGGAATTGACTCAAAGGAACTTAACAACAACTCTAGAGCAGGATAAATAAAGAAAGGTTAGACTTTGTACTCTTATGAAACTGCATTTCTATCTTCATGATAAAGGAAGGCAGTCTCTGTTCCTTTTTATCTTTACTCAGAAATGCATGAAAATAATAAAACATAAATTCAAGTAGTACTTAGATTATACATAAGAGTGTAAAATATTTTTAAACTTAGTAAGTACCATTTATAGCTAGATCCACGTGACTATAAGCCCTGGTAAGTAGTATAGTGGATTATGAGCTGGGCTGCTGACCTCAGGACCAGCAATTCGAATCTACCAGCTGCTCTGCAGGAGAAAGATGAGATTTCCTGCTTCCATAAAGATTTACAGCCTCGGAAACTCTATGCAGGGTTGCTATGAATCAGAACCAACTCGGTGGCACACAACCAGTGTCACCATCTAGAAGTATTTAAAAGCATAAGCTGTGGAAGTCAAGTAGACGTAGAGGTTCAAATACCAACGACCTACTTACTGCTTACTAACAATAGCATGACTAGGATGTCACTTATTCTTTGAATCTCAGTACTTTTATATTTACTTCTTAGATACTTTGCTGGTAAGTAAATGTGAGATAACATGTTTTGCACCCAGCAGTACTTTCAAAATTAAAAAATATTTTTCAACTATCTGAGTCCAGATTTGTGATTCTTTCAGGCATCTGATGATCTCCACTGGTGTTGAGGTAAATACTCAGGTAACAGTTTAAAACATTATATACTTTCATTTTCATTTCATTTATCTAAATATTTTCTACTTAATTAAAAAAATATGCATATAACACTTCTGTAGAAGGAGTGCTTTAAAGAAATGAAATGCCACCATTTGCATTCCAATTTCAAAATACTTGGAGATCACAAAGCCCTCCGTATTTTAAGCTGGAAATTTAATCTACATAAAAATTCCAGCTGGCAAAGCAAGTAGGTATTAAAAATCTACAAGTATATAGCCTTGAAATAGTATGAGTTATTCCTAAGGAGAAAAGAAACTGGAAAAATTAACTACCTTAACTAGTATATTGTTCAAGAATTAGGTGAAACAGTGCCATGGAAAAAAAGGCTGTAAACAACAACAAAAGCAGCTTTCTTAACTGACCTTCACATAACTGTTTTCTCAGATTAGCTAAAGCTCTCTGTTCCCTGTGTAAACAAACTAGCAGATGCCCAGGGCATGCTGAATGCTTATGGTTAGTGTTTTCTAGAATGCATTTGTGTATGTTTGCTCCTACCAGTTGAGATGTATTTTTATCAAGTTACTATTTGTTTCCAAACCAGTTTTTAATCCAGTTTTACTTGTTAATGTAATTGATATAATTTAATGAACTATTGGGTAAGTACATGGAATTTAAGGTGGTTGTGGCTTTGGAAAATTTCAATAAATGCAAGTTGCTAAAGTCTGCAGTCAAATTAGGTGTAAACAAGATAAATATAAAAAGGCTGGGGAAACAAAAATCATAAAAATATAGCAGAATTAGGTGCTTATACTGTTGATAAAGTGCCTATAAAGTTGCCATGCATTAAAGAAAACTAATCCAGAAAAGATGGAAGATGTGAAACTCAAATTAGTAGACCCCAAAATGAGTAAGAGCTTTCTCCTTATTGCCGATAACTGACAAATGAATTATCTTCTTTAGGTTAAAATAAAATGTTTAAGATATATACATTTTAAAAAGCATTATCATCCAATTTGACTTATATGGTTATTTGGTTTCAGCTAAAGTGGCTAAAAAGGTTCTTAAAAACAAATAAACCAAGAACAAAAATCAAACCCATTATTGCTGTCCTGTTACTTCTGACTCATGGTGATCTCATTTGTGTCCATGTAGAACTGTGATCCACAGGGTTCTCAATGGCTGTGATCTTTCAGAGTAGATCATAGGGATTTCTTCCAAGGTACCTCTGGTTGTATTCGAACTACCAACGTTTAGGTTAGTAGTAGAATGTTTAATCATTTGTACTGATTAAAAGGACGCTGCCACAGTTAAAGGTCTGAAGACATATGGGCTCAAATTCTTAAGACAAGACATATGAGTTACAGCACCAACTGTTACACGTCATGTATAAGCTACCAGAGATTGATTACCAAATGCTCTAGGAGGGAAAAACACTTAAATATGCATAAAGTAAATGTCTAACAAAAGAAGTCTCCCCCATCAGAGAGTAAAATAGAAGTTTCCAGTGCTGTGCTATCATCAAGAGACTATGTGTGATTTCAACATGAACTTAAAATAGATGTTTCTAAAGGAGACAGAGACAGTCAAGAAGACACTTATGAATAATATACACAATCAGTCTTCAAAACACTAACTGATTATATTAAATATCAAAGCTTTTGATAAAGTGAATAAATTCCTAAATTTGGACCCCCAAATTTATTGTAAATGATTATCCATTTAATGCTGAACTAAAAACAGTACTTCAGCAATTAATCCTACTTTATAGATAAACAATTACTGTATACTTTTAAGTGCAGATATAATGTACTTTTTGTACATTATGAGAATTCTTTTGTTTTGCTTTTAACATTATATTGTTTTTGAATGCTGAGAGTGAGCAGAATCATTAGATATAATTTCTTCTTCTTTTTTTTTTTTTTTAAATTGATGGGATCCTTTTATTTTTGTATCAAAATCTTATGTGGAAACCTAGTATATAAAAATGAAAAAGATGAGCATATCACTAGTTTTCTATAAACTATAGCTACCAAACCACCAATCTACTCTATTATTTTATAGCTGAAGAGACAAAATGCCAGAGATATAATTTGCTTAAATTGAGGCACAGATTAATATTCTTACAGGATCACTATGAGTCAGAATCAACTCGAGTGTACTTAACAACAACAATAATTTGGGTTTATAACTGCGTTTCTGAATTGTTCCAACAATTTAAAATAATACATTAATGATAATTAACATAATCTACAAACCAGTAGTTCTCAAATTTTAGAAGGTATCAGAATCGCATGGAAGGCTTATTAAAACACAGAGGATGGGGCTCCTGTTTCAGGTTTCTGAGTCAGATGATCTGAGATGAGGCCTGAGAATCCGCATTTCTGACAAATTGCCAGGTGAAGTTGATGCTTCTGGGGTGGGGATAACACTTTGAGAATCATTGCTGTAGACTAAAATCAATGACTTGCTGTGTTACCACAATTATTTCTTTTTAGGCAAATGAGAACTTAAGAAAAGGGAACAGTGGCTATAGGGAAAAAAAAAATCACTAGCCATGGACTCTAGTCTTGGCTCTATTATTTGCTAAATATTAACATATAAACTAGGATACATCCTTCTACTCTTTGAAACTAACTTTTTCATCTATACTTATTTTGGTGTTAGTATACTCAGTTCTCATAAGTAAATTAATAAAAAGGTCACCCTGTATAGGGTATCCAAGAGGGGCTGGTAGGTTTGAACTGCTGACCTTGTGGCTACCAGTCCAGTGCTTATCCTAAGTGTCATCCCAGTACTCCCAGTTATTAAATTTTAGACCAGTATTTTATGTTCCTAGTGCCCTTGATTATAAATTTTTTGAAAACAGATAGGTTACCAGGAAGACTTTTATCTAAGGAGTTCAAAATATCTAATGTGTACTTTATGTAACAAAAATAACACACCTGAGAATATTTGCCATGAAATTATTTAGAGGCATGCCATTAACATTTTAAAGTACACACCCATAAAAAATGTCACTTCAAATTAATAAATTCCTATTAAGGAAAAAAATGTTTTCAGTGTCTTTTATAAAAACTCAGACTTACCCATTTCATAATAGGAGCCCAGAAAAAAACTGTTCTGGGACCTGGAAAAAGAAACAGAAAAAGAAAAAAAGTTCAGAACACCACCATATATTTTATATTTTATACACGTCTTTTTTTTTTTTTTTAAGCTTTTATTGTGAATTATGTGGGTTTACATGGGAGAACATCAGTTTTCCATTCATCCTATTGTATTTCATTTCATTGCAATGATTACAATCCCCTCCATGCATCATCAAATAACCAAAGAGTACACCCCACCGGCCCGTGCCCCAGCCATCAGCACATGGCTCCTCTCCCTCCCTGAGTTCAGTGTCCCCAGCCGCTCCATCTGTCCACGACATCATCTCTGTCTCCATCCTTGGTGTCACTGTCTCTCTGCTCTTCTCACTTGATGGTCTCCGCTCTTCTCACTTGATGGCCCCAGGGACTTCAGCTCCTGGGCTGCAAAATCAATCACTCCCCTCCTTTTGTCAAAAAACATCTACCTCTATATTTCCTACCCTCACAGTCAGACCTGATGGCAATTACTCACTATTGTACCACAAGAGTCTTATCCCATTTCCTTTTGCCAGCCTGGTATACATGTCTTTTAAAAAGCTACCACATTTCAAAGAATCACAGATTTATCAAACTATTTCTAATTATTCTACAATGCTTTCTGCATAGTTTGCATTTATTTTACATAAAGTTAAAGGTATCATCATATCACAGGATCAATCCTTCATATAAATAATTTTGATCTCCTTGTTGAACATACCACTTACTGTTTGTTTGTTGTTGTTAAGTGCTGTCGAGTCAGTTCCAACTCATAGCGATCCAGTATAGGGTTTCTGAGGAGTGGCTAGTGAGCTTGAACAGCTGA